CCCGGGTCAGGGGACGCGGGGGTAGGGATATTCCCTGCGGCCCCCTCCTCTCAGTAAAGGTTCCCGGCAGCGTGTGCTTGTGCAGCGGGAACGCGCCGTCTCTTGGGGTTGCTAGCCTGCAAAATGTTTTCTTCTTGCGTTTCAGAACAGAGGCTTCTCAAAGAAGAGTCACACATTCCTGCCTAAAATATTTAGAAAAATGTCTACTCAATCAGCAAAAGAAAGACCTGAAAGCTTGCAGTTCCCTTTCCTCGATGATGAAGATACCATCTCCACAGTCAAAGAATCTAAAACCTTTTTTATTTTAAGAGGGCTGCCTGGCAGTGGGAAGTCCACTCTTGCCCAGGCTATTCAAGAAAGGTATAAGGATGCCTGCAAGGTCATCTCTGTTGATAGCTATAAAATTACACCTTCAATAAGAAGCGCCATTCCTGAAGAGTACTCGAAGGTGGATGAGGATCTAGTTGACTATTGCAAACGAGAGATCAGCGTTATTGTTTTGGATGACACTCACCATGAGAGGGAACGACTGGACCAACTCTTTGACATTGCTGACAAATACCGGTACAAAGTCATCTTTGCCGAGCCCAAAACCCAGTGGCGACTGGATTGCTTGCAGCTGAAGGAGAAGAATCAATGGAAACTGTCAGTGGAAGAGCTGAAGAAGATGAAGCCAAGCTTGGAGAAGGAATTCCTGCCCATGTATTTTGGGTGGTTTTTGAGCAAAAGAAGTTCAGAGATCCTGAGGAAGGCTGGCCAGGCCTTCTTAGATGAGCTTGGAAGTCTCAAAGCCTTCAAAAAGGAGAGTAAATACTGTATGTATACAAGTGTCTTACTGAGTTCTTACTCTGTTGATGAAATGTTAACACTCAGCAAATGGAACGAGTTTGGTCAGCTTCTAAAGTGAATTTCTAGTTAACGGTTTTTCTTGTTGCTAACTTTAAAAGCTACTAATCTGTTTCCCGTAGTTGACCAAGTTGCTGTTGTAAGTAAAAATAAATGAGACGGTTTTCCCTAAGAAGTCCGTTTAGCCCCGACGCTGTAGGGAGCTGGGTTTGGATCGCAGCGGCGTTAGCCGAGGTGGCTGGGTGGCCCCTGGGTTCTGAGCAGCCCGAGGGGCTAGGCAAAACGAACGTGAAGAGTCGAAGAGAAAAGGGAAAGACCGAACAATCGTGTCCCTTACGGGATTCCTACATCATCGGGGTTAAGACCAACCACGATGATGAGCAGAAGTGTCTGTTTTCTACTTACATCCACTGTTAGCCTAGGTGGAAGCAGTTTTATTTACCCATCTGGGCCTTTTCAGCAGGTTAAGCGAGATGAAACATGAAGAAAGCTGAGACAGGACTTGAGCTCATGGGGTGGCGTCAGGGGCATCATTTTTTGACAGTAATATTGTTTACCTGTACTTGCAGTTGCTTCTGCTATTGAAGATCCCAAAATAAAAACGGATCTCACCAGCTACTTTGTGAAGAGGCCGCCCGGGGTCTTACACTGCACCACAAAATACACCGACTTTGGAAAGGCAGCCGGAGCCGAGGAATACGCGCAGCAAGAAGTGAGTGCCGGGGCTGCGGCTCCTCCCCACGGCCCCCCGTCTCCCCCTCCCAGCAGGGGATCCACAGACCTCTCGGGGTGGGCTGGGGACGCGGCTTTGCTTTGGGCTGAGAGGCCAAACCCAGGACGGGGAGTACGTCCACAGGGCCTGTGCAGTAGAAAAGTTGTGATTGTGGGAGGGATGGTGACTGTTTCCTGTTAATTCCCAAACAAAATGCCCCTGCCCCCCCATCGCCCCTGACTTCCAGCATCATCTCCAATAGCTTGATTTGAATGACGATGAATTAAGGTATTTGCACTTCCAGCTAAAGTATTTCAAAACAGGTAAGCCCAAACTAAACACTGGAATTTGTGAAGGAAAAAGATGTCACCAGCTCCGAATTAATGGAGCAGGGACTTTGGGCCCTGATCTTCTAGTTGCACACAGTATTTCAAATATGTCAAAGCAAGAGCTACTGTGATCAGCCAAGACCCCGACCTTGCGGACAATAAAGCCGACCACGCTGCTGAACGTCCCCCCTCTGCAGTGTGTTAAAGCCGTGTTCTGCACTTTCTCTCTTCTCCCAGGCTGTGAAGGCTTCCTACGGCAAAGGCTTCACCTTGTCCATTTCTGCTCTCTTCATCACAACAAAAACTGTTGGGGCTCGCGTAGAGCTGAGCGAACAGCAACTGCTGCTGTGGCCTGGGGACGCCGACAAGATCCTGCCCGCCGACAACCTCCCGAAAGGCAGCCGGGCTCACATCACCCTCGGCTGCGCCAACGGCATCGAAGCAGTCCAGACTGGGCTCGATCTGCTGGAGTTTGTGAAACTGGAAAAGGCAGGGAACAAAGGGGATGAAGTGGGGGAAATCGGAGGAGGGAAACTGCTCTATTTTGATAACGGTATGTGGATGCTCATCCTTTCTAAAAAGATCGATGTGAAGGCAATATTCTCAGGCTACTATGGAAAAGGAAAACTGGTGCCAACGCAGAGCACCAACAAACGGGGCTCTGCTTTTAGTTCCTGCACCATCATCTAGGAGCATGACCTGGGTAGCTTGTTTGTTTGTTTTTAAAAGGCAAGTAACTCCTGTAACCTTTAAAAGTGTAAAGAGAAATAATTCTACCTTTACTAAAGTAAGCCCCTTCTGCCAACCCCAGTGTGAAGCCTCTCTGGGGGGAGTTCGTTGGCCTCGGAACAAGGAAGAAAACAAGCAACTCTCGACTGATGAAGGAAAACCGTCACCTAATTGATGTCAGTAACTGAAGTGCTGCTGAGTGTGTTTTAATGCAAGTTTTGGAGAGAACCAGCCGTGGTGTTCTGCTTGTTTTCTTCCTCAGAGGAAGACCAGCTATGGTCTTCTATAGCTTCCCTATGAACCACAATCGTTAGATCTTTACGTCAGCACTATGGGCAGTGGCAGACCAAAGCCTGTACATAGCTGGTCTGAAGCCAAGTGAAGTGAACTGTGCGATGTCTCTCCCCTTCTCCCACACCCGCCATTCTGGTAGCTGAGTTACTGGGTAAACACCAGCAAGACCCAATTGTGGATCACTTCTGTCAAGCGGGGCGGTTACTGATAGTTTAGCCCGTTAAGCAGAGAACTTGCAGAGGGCAGCGGGGTACCCCACAGCCGGTCCTGCAGCCCCGTGGCCGGCCAGCCGTGCTCCACCCCAATTCACGTTCCCTGTTTGCGTGTGAACGCTTCCTTCAGCACAGGCAAGAGACGTGCGAGGGTCAGCAGACAGAAGGAAAGCACGTTGCCAGATGGTGTCTTAAAGACTTAAAGGGAAACAAGTGAAATACCAGGAGAGGCGTCCAGTTCCCGTAGCGTGGCTCCAGCCGTTTCACTTCATGTGTCCGAGTGGGCTAGACCAAGCGCTGTCCCATGTCCTTGTCCTGTAGGGAACAATCCTGCCTTGGCAGGGAGTGGAAGAGATGAAATAACATCTTTTTCATCTTATTTTGTAGAAACTAAAATCATGTCTGAAGTATAGAACTATACTTCATGCAAGATTTTACTACTTTTTGCTAATGCACTTGAATGTTAAAAGTTAGAATGGCAGTAACATTGTAATTTAGGAAGTAAGTGGAGGTATTGTAACTGCGTAACTTAAGTCCGCTCAAACCTAAACCATTGGCTGGGAAAAAAGTTAACGATCGAGCACTTCTGTTAAGTCTTTGTTATTGAAACTTAAGTTTTTTGCTCTTAGCCAGACCATTTCCCAGTTAGTCACTGGATACACGGTCACTACTTTAACACAAAGCTCAACTAATGGATTCAGGCCAGGACAACAGTTTAAACTCATGCTATGGCTCAGTGTATGGTGAACTGCATAGTGAAATTAATCCCGTATTAATATATGTAAATACTTACTGTGTTTGACAAGCGTGTGCTGGGCTTGTATCTGTAAAGGAGCTGTCGTGTGGGCACCGCTTACCTGTAGGTGGGTGTGTGCTGGCACCGTTGCTTGGGAAGCCCAACGCTGCCTGTGCAAGAAGTGTTTCTCCTCTAAACGTTTAAAACAAAAGCAAGGAGTGCTTTGGGGCTAATCTGGTAAAGCCTCTACAAGTTTACCAGTAAAGCAAAAACTTCCTGCTGTTTCAAAGAGACAGATGATAATAATTTTTCTTTATAACAAAAAATTATATATATACCCCCCCATAGCACCTGTAATCCTCCCTTACCTTGAACAGAGAAACCCTTGCTAGCTTCTGCACTGGCAGAGGGGCGAGTGCCCAACACTCAGCTTGGGCATGGGTTTGTTCCATCAAAACTTTAAAAACATATTTACCAGCGCCTGCCCGGGAGGGCTCCTGTGGGAGTGCAGGAGCTCGCTGCCCCCCTCTCCCTCCAGTGCCCTGGGACCAACCCAATGCTCCAGGTCACGTCCAGCACCGAAATGCACAGCTGGAATATCTTGTTTATTTGTCTGTTCAAGAACAACAGTGAGACTGTCGTCATTTACGTTTTTATTAGTTTGTACATCATATACAGTTTATAATAAAGTAAACCAATTGCATATGGTTTTGCTTCAGTCTGTGATATTCTTCATATAAACACATCATTATGAATTATGCCTAATGAAGTAAACAACAAATATTCACATTTTTACCATTCACATCCTAGAAAGGTAAGGGTCCAAAGAGGGACAGTGTTCATACCGATGCGAAGCCCGTCTTAGAGAGGATGACGTGTTTGGCAAAGCGATGGGGATAGTGATTGCTCCATGCAATACTCCTTTCCTCCCACTGGAAAGGTTAAGATATTTACACTGAGGTAAACATTCAGAATTTCAATTCAGATAAATACTGCAGCACAGGGTCTAGCGTCCTCTCCAAGTTGGCTTCGCATCGGTGTCTGGGTGTCTTGACTACTCCTTAATGTCGTTACAACAAAGCAGAGATGCATGCAATGAAGGTGCTCGGTTTGCTGTTTCGCACTCGATCCCTCCAACATCGCTTCATGCGATTTTCTCTTTTGAAGCATGAGCTATAAGTGACAGCAGGGAGGAAGATGGGGTCATCGAGGTCAGACTGGCTATGCCAGAACCGCAGCCACGCTGCACGCCCAGCCAGAGGCAGGATCCCAGCTCTCCCAACAGACTCCGGCCTTCCCGAGCCACCCCGACGATGCCAAAACTCAGTAACGCTGTGCTGCAGACGATGCCCCATCTCGGCATCCTGCTCACAACCTTTCATATCAGAGCTTCCCTTCAGAGGTCAGATCTATGCTAGAGTGAAAACTTGCCTAGCACTGCTCAAAGAAAGGATAATCCCGTCCCTGACTGCAGGAGTGGGGAAAGCCTGGGTACATCCAGAAGGCCAAAGCATTATGCATCGTCTTTCAAAGCCAAGCACGAGTCCTGCTGCCCTGGTACGCAGGGACAGCACGGACGTTTCCAGCATACAGCACTGGTGACAGAAGTGTCACAGACCCCAACTGCCACCTGTCAGCCTCAGTTACAGCATCCTGCAACAGCCCACGCTGGACCTCAGCACTGCTTGGAGAAACTCGGGTTGGTGCAACACTCGAGCTGTCTTTTTTCCCCTAAGAAAGGGGAGGGTAGGGTACAAGGCACAAATTTAAATGGGATGAAAACCATCCACTTGAAGATAAGTGACTATCTTTAGTTATTACTGAAACTGAGGAAGTAATTTTGAAAGAAGAGCAAACCACCGTGTGGTACAAATGCTTTGGTCATTCAATTGGCTGAAGAGCGATTTGGCCGAGCGCAGCCCTCCGGCACGCTGCCGGCTCGGAGCGCAGCGCTCGCGGGTGGGCACAGGAGCCGAGCCAGTTTCCGCATCGGAAACGAAATGACAGCGCAGCAGCTTTCACTCTGTATCCCCATCAGATACAGAAAGCCAAGGGACTTGCAATGTTCCACGGGTAACAATACTGTTGTCCCTAAACATTTTTTTCTTTCCCCTTTTTTTCCAATTTGCATTAATGTATTTACAAAACAGTCAAAAGCCTTTAGCACTAAGAATCCAGCTTTACAGCAACACTTCCAAGTTCACAAACGCAACCATGTACTTTGCTACGTAGCATGTGTAGCCGAAACAATGAAGAGCCTGTCAAAGTGGGCAGCCAGAAGCATCTTAATGGTCTTTACAGCTGATTTCAAGTCCAGGTTCAGTGTATCTGGGAAGGACTCTCTCCCCCGCAAAAGGGGGAGCTGACACAGCATCAGATTTGTAAAGTAAATCCACACAAGAAAAAAAAAAAACAACACACCAAGCTTTGTGGTCTAGCAGTCAGACCGTTGTACATGCAAGTTATCTCCCACACACTAACATTACTGATGCGTGTTTTCATTTTTAAAGCATGAACTCGCTTCCATTTTCACTTGAATGCAACCGCACTTCACTATTTGAAATGATCCCTTCAGCAGCTCAGACACCACAAGTATCATGATTAGGCAAAAAACCAGAGGGAAAGCGTAACAGTCAAACAATTGCTGATCTCCTTATAAACGCTAGAGTCACGACAACGCAGCCTCACTTCACGCGCTTGGTCTGCCAAGAGCCACGCTCCCCACACACACACACACAATTTTTCCTGTAGTTTACAACTTCCACAGAAGAAGCCGACAGCTGCTCCACCAGTTACCGAGCTGTTCAACAGCAACTACTTCCATCACGTCTGCTAAAAGATCCCTCCTCCCTTACACACCAACCCGGTCTGGCTTTCAGCCATGCCAGCTCTGCCATCCTGGGGTCCTTCTCATCGGCAGGAGCCCTCGCAGCACCAACCCTTCTCCTTCGGAAACACCGGGCAGGAGCTGGCAGGCCGGGGGGAAAACATGCACTGTGCAGCAAAAGCCGCTTGGCCTCTGTATTTCGGGCTGTTCACCAGGCAGAGCAGGGCACAAGGGATTCTGCACCTGGAACAGTCTGGGGACACCTTCAAGTACGTTTCAGGGTTAAGTATTAAGGCTCTTGCTGTTACGCCAAAAAATAAACCTTTCAGTAAGCACAAAGACTGACTTCCAGAAAGAAAACTCCTCTCATTAAGAGAAAGGGCTTTACCCTCCGTTTCTTCCACCTGCCGAGTTCACGTGGTGGCCCACACTCACCCCAAAGGGAACAGCAGGCTTCCAAATAAGGCTCGATGCACAGGTATCCCACTGTGCTTGTGCTTCAAGGGTATCGCCTACAGCAACCGCCTCCTGTCACCTTCATTAGCTCTTTATCACTCTAGAAAAAGCACAGGCGTAGTATCACTTTAAGATACTTATTCGTTATCTCTGTGGCAAATTCCTACATCTGGTAGCTCCTGTCGAGCCAAAGGAAGCCAGGGAGGTCTGCAGAGTGGTAGAAGCTAGAAAAGTGGCACTAAGGTTCCCTGTGGACAAAATACAACCCATGAATAATGTTCTGGAACTACCAAGTGTGAAAGGCAACGTTTCAAGCAATGCACATCCAGGCAGATTTTTCCAAAAGAAACAGAGTCCCGTGTCTCCCAGCCGCGCTAGGACTCGACGGAGGGTACCATGCCACCACACCTCTATCTCCAGGCGCTGCTGCTGCTATCCTGAGGTAACGGGAGAGTCACCGAACGCTGCTCAAACCCCAGCGCTCTGTGCAAAAGGGAACACGTGTTCGCCTTCACTTCGAATCACATAATAACGCTATTTAGAAAAGTCTTGGCACTCACCATAGTAATATTTAACTACATTAAATCATGCATTCATGTACAGTTTTATAAATATCTGCTGT